GAAATTTGTGTAATTTATATGAAAATCAGAACAAGTTACTACAGGGACAAGTTGATATAATATTTTGAAAGTATCTGAACACTGTATTTGTAACTTGATTTAATTTAATTTTTAATTTTTTTATTACGATAGAGTGTACGTCTGTGTACACTGAAACACACACAATAGCAATTGTTAATATATCATACGTTACTTTTAGTTGAAACTTAATCAATTGTTCTCTTTGAGCTACTTAAGTTATCTTGCATTGCTAATATTTGTTCCAGCAAATTACGCATTTCTCATTTATAATGCTACAATTAATGATATAAACAACAAAATAAAAATGAAACATTAGAGAATATATAGTATTACATCTATATTGTAATACAAACAGCTTGAAAATGTACGATCTAGAAACGTTGCAATTAGTAACACTGCATAATTAACGTTTAATACTGCAAACAGAAATAGAATAGAATTATCATAAGTGAAATCATTGGTTAGACAAACGAATATCCTGCAAGAAACGTAGGAACTACGAGGCTCTCTCGTATAATGCGAAGTTGATAATTCAGTAGGGTTAAGCCAAAGATCGTAAACTTGGAAGTATCCAATTTTCGACAACACTATGGCCAACTTTATGTTTAAGAACGCATTAACTTCACCAGCTGTATCTCAGCTGTGCAGAATGCAATCTAATACAACGAACATCTACGACATACACGAACGATTTATCGTCTAATTTAATGAGCTACTACATCGCACGATATCGAAGAATTTCGAAGCTATGAAACTATAATTAGGATGTCGCACGAAGATTAACGGGACAACGGGTTATAATCGCGATTGCTATAGTATTTTGAAAATGGCTAATGTAATATTCTCTTTATAGTTTTCCTCAGACGAACAATTTGGATCCGGCGATCAAGATGTCAATTTATTTGATGTCGTGGGGGAAATTGACTTAAATAAGGTAGACAAGAGTCTAACGCTCTTTTTCTTTTCGTTTTACTAAACAAAACTTACATCTTTTGATTTTAAAACGTTCGTACTAACCAAAAATTCTTTATAGCTTTTTATGTTGTGTGCCGTTTTTTTTACTAACGAAAATGTTTTTTTAATCGGACAAATAACTATTCGTTGTGATTTTAATTATCGAAAGAATTGCAATGATTATTAAGTAAAAAAGAATTTGAAATTGCTTTGCTTTTAATTTGATTAAATCATGCTGCACCAATTTATCGAAATGAGGCTTTCAACTTGGATAGTCAAATAATAATCCTCAAAGAAGAACGACATCCTACTAAGGATCTGGTCTTTAGACTTTTCAAAAGGATGTCGATCGTTTCGTATGAGACAGAGAAATCTAGGAATTAGGTTATGAAGATAATCTCGTAAATACTGAAAGGATAATCTTCGAATGCTGTTAGGATTTCGCAATGGCGACTTTACTACGGATCTCATACTTCACTATCCACCTCAGTCATTATGGAGTTTGACTTAATCCAAGCGAAGTTTACAGATCTCTATCGCATCTACCAAAATCTACTAACTAAATTCAAAAAGAAATATTAATCCGTTCAATTTTTTCTTGTCGATTTTTTTCATATAAAAAATTGATTAATAACTTAATATTTTATATTTCTTATCTTATATCTTTTTTTTGCATCATGCCTTAGACAAATCCTTTTTGTAATTTCAACGTCCATTATTCTAAAATGATTTAACTCTACAAGAAATTAGCAAGAGTAGTTCCCTACTACTCGGTACTAATATTTAACTATAATTCTACTCATAATCAGTCTGTCGATCTCATGTGCAGGGTTTCCTTCTTCAGTCATGATAATTTAATAACGTAAGGTCATCGCGACAGATTTCAGGCTGATCTTTATACCGACCGCTATCACGCGCATTCTGCGGAATAAGGACAATTTAATTTACTGGGCATCAAGACGTACAATTTGAAATCCGTAAGGTAAATTTCGAGGATAACGTCATCTAATTTATTGCTTCTTGTAGCAACCACAAGACGAGATACCTTCATATTATATTCTATCGAGTTTAACACAGTATAAATCTCATTTTTCTTATATTTTTGTAAAACTAGGGTCTTAGATGAATCAAATCAATATGGTTTAACGTTCGGAATTATATTAACTATTTCAATTCCAAATTCAAGCAAATTGAATAATGAAATAATATCTAAGTGTATAAATCTATAAATTATCACGATGAACATTACTCTCAGAACGTAATTAAATTTTCGATAGAACGTTCAAATATATATGATAAAATAAATCTTCCTATTCCCATCTAAAATTTTCACTCATTGTCAGTCTCACAAATTTTCAAATAAAATCTTCCTGCAGGCGATGCCACGCGCATTCATTTTTATGTGCATTCAATTGCTCACGTTACGAAGTCGATTGTAACACCATGTGCCATCTGATGCAACGCGCACGGAATTAAGAGCTCGTTTAAAACGACTGGCAATAAGAATGCGAATGTGATATTCGCATGTAGAACTTTTTATTATAACGACAGTGTATTACGTCATATAATAAATTTTTAATAATTATTTTATAATAGTGTATTTCGATTAATCAAAGAAATCGTCCATCTCGTTGATTATATAAATATAAAAACAAATACTTTGAATAATCTATAATTCAAAGATTAAATTAACAGGCACGACTCATAAATATATCAAAGTAAAATAATCTATATTTAATTATTTCAAAAAATTAAGCGAATTAAATAATTATCTTATCTTCAAATAATTATTTTATCTACCTCACGTTCAACCAGAAGAAGTTCAACGATTCTGAAACTAAAATAATAACTATTCATAGAAGTTAGCATGTTTGCGTATTTTCATTGAAAGTGAAGCGATAGATTTCGTCACGAAAATCAGAACAGAACATGGTGCGAAACGTCTTAGACCAATAGCAATTTGATGAACCCGTCTTCAGTTCGACCCACTTTCGAAACTTGCAGCTGCGCGGTAAATTCATTAAGCCAATCCAATTTCACTAGACGCCGATAGGAATGGAAGCATTTCTTCGTACGACGGATTGGAAGATGGTTTGCGGTTACCTTCGTAAGATACGTTCTCTTCATTCTGACTGCTACTATCTACGAAACGTTTCTCAAATGTCCTGTTAACGACCATCACGACACGATGTTCGAGGATCAATGAAGCTAACAGGATGAGCTCTATTAGTGTTAACTGACAGACGAAGACACAACACACTCTTTTTATCCCGTCATACTCTTGAACATTTTAAGTCGATAAATAAAGTTAAGAATGAGAAAAAACATTTCGATAGATTTTGAGAGAAAATTTTCTTTAACTTTCCGTACGCTTAGAACTTACACATTTGACTTTGTAATTGTATTTAATCTTTGTATTAAACGATATTCTGTCTCATCTGATTATTTCTTCTCCCGTTCTGGTAATGATTCGATTAATATAAAAAAATAATTTTATACAAAGTACAATATATATTCTGCTCCAAAGAAAAGAATGAATTTTGGAATGCAAACTGCAAAATAAAATGGAAGAATTTTCCTGTCCGAGTGTCGTTTCTCTATACATATACTATTCAAACACGTATATATGCATACGTTAGTCTAGCACGTAGGAAAACATGAAATTAACAATGACAACAGAACTCGTGCAACGAAAATATTTACTCCTGATAGTCGAAGAAGAAAATCAAACGTACGATGAATTGCAGGCCAGATTGCTGGTCTATTATCGTGACGAGGTTAATTATTACTAACTTAATAAATTACAAAGGTAAAGAAGAAATTATGCGTATTAATTTATGATTATCTGTGATCGTAATATAAAATAATGTTAATTATAACTGTTAATTTACATCCTAGACCTTCCAACATGAAATACAATTTAAATCAATTATTTTTAGAATAGTTTCATGATTTATTTTTTATGTGAGATTTTTAAAAAGATGTTGCTCGTTAAACGTTCTGCTGGAATGCTGATGATTTGAAGAACGGCAATGCGGCATTGCGGTACAGCAAATACGTGAGTTGCCGAGAAGAAGAATGCTTTGGATGCTTGGCATGGTCATAACTTGAACTGTCCGGTTAGGAATCCTTTCGAGAAGCTTCATTTTCTTTTTCCTTTTTTTATATACTCATAGTTACGATAGGTGACAAAAAAACTAATATAAAAATAAAGCATGTCTTCATTACAAATTTGAGCATATTAATTTGCATGAAATACTAACGTTAGTAAAATCTAATTTAAATTATAGAAGAATATAAAACTATTTCTAATGGCAAACATGTTCCAGTAAACTTACATAATCAATTTTTTGTTCATCCTACTCATCATTCATAGACCGGTTAAAAAAAAAATATATATGAACGATTAAATTCGTTCAATCATCAATATTTTCCCAATAATGCGAACGTCCGTCGATCACGGAAAAATGTCGAACGAAGGATGACTACCCCCTTCGATAAAACCGCGCCATTACTAATAATTATCGGAAAACACTTAGGGCAGGTGTCGTGTGTCCTAACCGTACAGTCAACCGCCTGATTTGCCTGAAACTTCATTAATCACCGTCAGTGTCTAATATTATATGCTCGCTTTAAAAGCATCCATCGAGTGGGAACCTCAGCGAAAATACGACGTGCAGTCTTCACTACTTTATAATAAACCGATGCGCTTTTTAACGTTTTCAAATAGCCTATTTTTGAACAATACGAATGAATATTTTATATGGGAATCATTTATACCTACTAATCAAACAAATTTTCAAAATAATATACGCTTAACTAATACCTAATGACATAATCGTTTTAATGGCTAATTGTTATTACATATCTATATGTATATACATAAGTACATATAGATTGATGCTTGAAATAAAATTAAAACGAGCAACCATAAAAATTGTTAAATTCGAGATCTTCTTTCAATGATGATAAAACGCGTGCACATATATTTACGTTATCGATTTTTCTCTGTTATTCCTTCGCAGATCGATCGAGAGTACGACGAAGATAAAAACGAAGAAAGTAACCCACCACCGTTCATCACGCCTCCTCCTCCTAATCCAGACTGTGAGTAATAGCATTTACATAAAGCCGCAGCTATAGCTTTCTGTGAAATAAGATCTAATATCTTTCGTAAGAAATTCAAAAGACGGAACAATGCTCGAATCTCACAGATTGGTGGACAATGTTTCAATTAAAAATATGAAACTGAAAAATCTCTTTTGTTTTAGACAAAGGTCCGAAAGGTGAGAAGGGTGATAAAGGAGATAAGGGCGAGAGCGTTCGAGGACCACCAGGACCTCCTGGACCACCTGGACCTGGATATGATTCGAACGATGAGGTATCAAATTTTATTTATTGATTCTGTTAAAAAAAAAACTATACTCGAGGGACATATCTTCTAAGACAACAATTTTCAAAAAAACATAATAAAATCAATAAAAAATCGAATCTTATCGTATTTTTGTCAAACATATTTGTATAAAATCTATAAAAAATTAAGTATTAATACGGCACATATATTTTTTACACCCTGTAGATACTGTGATAAAACTCTCTTGAAATTTTGCCAAAAAACTTCGAATTCACCGAGTTCGTTCAGCCTATAGTCTTTTTTAATACCTTTTATAAAACCTTGATTTATATACTTCTAACCGGGAAATAACATGGATGATAAATTAAATAAAATACTACACCTTAATTCATGAACCTAAAGTAGGTGAAAATGATTAAACGTATCCCTTCCTAAATGTCAACAATAACTTCATTCCATTGAAGCCTTATGGTCATGACGTTATATAAGTCATTGAAACGTCGATAATACGTGATGTTCGTATTTACGGTACACGGATATGACACGATCGCATCCGCGATCAGTCATTCATCTGGTTATTCGAGCGAATTGATTTAGCGTGAGAATATCGAAGCGCATATCAGGAAACACTGTGCATAGCACTCGCATCTGCATCATAACTTTTCGGTATGTGAATACGTTCCATTTTCCATAGAATTCACTTGAAAATTGAAATAAAGAATTTCTAGTGCAAATTGATTACCTTTTTGTTATTTTAATATTCTTCATCTTGTCAGGATTGGCCAGTAAAAATACCACAAGGTCCACCAGGTCCTAAAGGAGAACCAGGCAAATGTGCGTGCAATGCAACGGCGTTGATGACATCCTTCACGATGCCAAAAATGATCGAAGGACCGAAAGGCGAACCAGGTGTCCCTGGAAAGGAAGGAAAGCAAGGGCAGATGGGTCTTACTGTAAGCAGAATAACTTCTTTAATTATAAGTAATAAAATAATAACGACTAATTTTTCCTTTACAAATGGATAAAACAATTAGATTATCGATTATTAAAAGATTATTTCTGGTACAGGGTGCAGCAGGACCACCCGGAGAAAGGGGATTACAAGGTCCACCTGGAGCAAGAGGTGAAAAAGGAGATATAGGAATACTTGGACCCGAAGGTCCTCAAGGACAGAAAGGTGAACCAGGTAGAGATGGAATACCAGGTGAAAAGGGAGCTCAGGGACCTCCTGGGCCACCTGGAAAGGGCGAATTCTCCGGCTACGATGTAAGTTGATGTACTTTTCTTAAGTTCTTAGGGAATAAAAAACGAAATGATCTAAAGAAAAAGGACGATACATTAAATCCATTCATAAAAAAAGGTAAAAATATTGTTTATAAATGAAAAAACATTCGGAAAGAATATTATCTCAAAGATCATGGAATTTCTTAAAATTCCAAGAATGTGTATCCTTGGCAACAATATACATAACTCTTATTTAGTCGATTCGTATACTCGCGAAACACGCAAACATTTAGCTGAACGTGTCTTTCGTCCCTTTATAAAACAACCTTTTCATGAGATACATACTCCCTCAGCTACTTTCGTCCCTCTTCGAGCACTGTCTTTCACCTAGTCGGTCAAACGTTTGGTCGGTTGGACGATCGCGGTGCAGTAGGCAACCTAGAAATTGGTTTCTGTATTCCTCGGGGAAATCGAGCTTCTCACGATGCGAACTCACGTAAGATAACCGTAGCACACACGATACGCGAGTCGAACACACAGAAGAGGAGAAGGATGAGAAAAGTAGTACTCGAATTTCCTGCCAACGAAGTCGTCCTACAAGTGATCCGAAATCGAGATACCATGAAATTCAACTTCTTCAAATGTACTTCATTTTATGTTAGAACATTTTTTACCCCTCCTGAAAATAATTATATTCGTTTTCTTATAATAATAAAGAAAATCGTCTCTTTATCACTCTCATCCAAATAATCGAGATAGAAAAAAGAAAAAAAAGAATTTAGAAAGAGATTAAAAAGATTGGATAAATATATTGCTTATCAACCATTATTGAATGAAAGTTCCCCACGATGATATATATCTTGACATCTCTCTTCGCGTACAATTTACGATTATCGATTACTCGACTCAAATATAATTTCATCAAAGAGACGAATAGTCGACTTTAACAACCTATGTCTCGATGTTACGATACGACTCATCGATTTCGAAAGTCCTATACATTATGACATGTGATGCTTTGCATTGTCAGTATTTCGTAGCTCTTTCCTTATTATTCTTTCTTTCTCTCTCTCTCTCTCTCTCTCTCTCTCTCTCTCTCTCTCTCTCTCTCTCTCTCTCTTTTTTTCCCTCTATCTCTTTATATTTCTTTCTTTTTCTTCTGCTCTTCGCTCATTCTCTTTTCCAAGAATCTCAGCTCTTATATATGCCCTAACGAACTCACCATTTCTGTCGTACAACTCTTCAGGCTCTAGACTTCAGACAGACACAAACTCGACGAATTTCTAAGCAGACTACTCCTATTGTCATCTCCTCTCTAACTCTTTCTATCTATCTCTTTCTTTCTTATTGTGACTTCTCAGGCTAGGAGTAACGCTTAATTCGGTAGTTTTCCTCTATAAGACGAGTGCGCGGATCGAGCTTAAATATTTTAAACGTGAGCGTCTGCCGGGTCGTCCTTGTTGCCTTTAGCTTTTATTTTAACGAGAAGGAGGGATCGTCAGCGACCCTTCTACCTCGATCTTAATCAAGCTCCTTGGTAAGGTACAATGACCGGGAACACCGACTAGACGTTGATACTTTCTTTTATTTTTCAATTTGCTTTTTTACAATAAAATATTTAAATGTACTTTTTTTAATAAATTTGTTCATTAAAAGTATCTTATTATCAAATAGAAAAGCTTATCCTTTCGAAATAATAATAAATTTAAGTGTACGATTTAACATGAAATAAAAAAGAAATAATTTGTTGTTAAATAGTGTACGGTCTACTATAATGTTTAATTTTAATTTGAAATACTATAGAATGTAATTATAAACTTATATGCGAACGATTTCAAGAATAATAAAACGCGAAAAAATAAAATTGTGTAGAATAGGTGCTCGATCTGTATATATCGTTTGAAACGTAATCTCGAAATGCAACTTGCGACTTCACGCTCGTGAATACATCGGTTCTTCGTGTTTCTGACATTTGCTGGAAAGGAGATGTGAATGGACGAGAGAAAAGGAACATGAGTAAAACGTTAGAACGAATAAAGTGAGAAAAGGGTGAGTAAAATGTTGCCTGAAATTCACTCGTTATCGTATAGACCATTATTTATTCCTCGTGGTGCGATACGCGTTCTATTTCTATTCAAAGATTTTCTTACTTAGCTATATAGTTGATTAGAACTGGAACGAAATAGATCATTCTTTTCGAATAAAGAATTTTTCAAAGAATTCCAGAACTAATATGATAAAATATAGCTTTTACTCGATATTATATATAGAGATAATACATTTCCTATAATTAATAATCGATAATTGACTTTCGGATAATTGAATATATTATATTTTTATTACTCGATGTTAACGTTTTCAACGTAGAAAGAATATTTCTTTCTTCGTTCTTTTTCTTTTATATATAACTGCAATAAAAGTTAACATTCGTTTTTTATAAAAATACACATTTGTCCAATTATCCAATTATTCTTTAGTTTAATCAACCTTCTATGTTTATTACATTTCCACAGAATAAGTTGAATGCTATCTTAGTTATTTATACATGAAACAGAAAAAAAAGAAAAAAGAAATTCACTTTCCACATATTAGAGAAAAAACATAAATATCGAGTAACAAATTTTGCAGTATCATTACTAACTACTTCAAGTACCCTAATACGATTACTTTGAACATAACGTTCAATGAGATTCTTAACGACTACTTAATTTCACGTTAGGAAGATTTTGAAATAGCGCAGAACCGAGTCTTCGGAGATTTTTCTAAAAAATTTTAAGTTCCTTCAGAAAGTACAAGAATAAATTCACGAGAAACAACAGGCTAGGAAAGAGAAGAGTAAAAGGAGTAGAGATAAAGAGAAAAAAGAAAGTTCTTTGATAAAGCAGAAATTGCTTGGAAGTTTGGAGCTTCTCAAAAAGAAACCAAATATCGAGAAGTGACAAATTAATAAGACAAATTTGGACATTGAAATATAGACAAACTTTAAAACGTAACAAAATAGCGAATCATGATTATAATAATTATATAGAACGATAATATATAATCATTTCTTTGTTCGTATTAATAAGCACGTATTTCCATAAATAAATAAAAGAAACATCTTACATCATCCATAAACTTCACGAAAACATATAATATCCTTAAATTGACACATTGACCATATCTCACATCTAATACTTTTAATAACATTTTTTAAATTAAAAGAATAACAAAATCATTACTTCAGACTTGAAATTTTATAGATAAGCATACTTATAATTATTTAAAAAGGACATTTTCTAAATGTTTTAAATGAATTTGTCTTAATTAACGAATAAAAATATTTAACGTGCTTTTTTGTAAAAAAAAAAAACAAATATTCCATTTTCATGTTTAATATTCTCATTTACATTGTACATATACGTGATTAAGTTATCATCACAGATTTGATTGTCAAAGGATTATAATTATTCGTCGGTAACATTAGATTGAGATGAAAGCGAAGTATGGATTTTACGACGAATGTGCATGCTTTGCGACCTTATTCCCATGATTAAACACAGAAATTTCGTCTGTTATGCGCATGCAGCCCAGTTGGAAGACCCGAGGCATTTTCAGGGTGAGTACTAGTTGGCGTGCCTCGAGTGCTTGCACCGTAAGGGCGCTTCTATCCTAAATCTATGCTACAGATACGCCGTTTATTTAATAAGACACGCGCGTAATTAAGATAACATTGTTACGAAAATGATACTATGTTATGACGAATCTTCAAGGATAAATTGAAGCGTTTGTGCTCGTCTACACGATGTTTTCCTTCGTTAAAACATATATCAAAGATTAAGTTGTTCTCAGCAGCGACCTCTTGGGATGTTACATTTACGTTGTATTATTCTTTTTAGAAATTCATTAAACAACTTAATAAAGATACTAAATCATTTTTATTTATTTGATTTTTTTTTTATAATAGTATCTATAAATTATACTCATAAACTTTTATGCCTTATACGAAACATTTAAATAGGAACACCTGTATGTCTTATGTTGTTTAATTCAAGTTTAAAATTTGTCTATGTTGTATCTTTATTTAAAAAACTTATAATTTTTTACTAAAAATACTATCACCTGCATATATAAGCGAGCTTAGCAATTCAGGTGTCTCTATTTAAATGTTCCACCCTCTATGAGTATAAAATAAAAGAAATTGTAGCTCTTTATCAGTATACAAAATTAAATAAATAATTTTGTACGAAAGAATGAAATTCAAAGATCCTTACATAACATAATAATTTAAATATCACTTGATTTATTTTTTTGTACTAATTAAAATATCAAATACAGAACGAAAAATTAATATTAGTTGTTTTATTTAGACCGAAGGTATCACGATGAGACCAGGTCTACCAGGACAAAAAGGTGAATCAGGCATACCTGGGAATCCTGGTCCTAAAGGAGAAGCGGGAATTCCGGGTGGAAAGGGTATTAAAGGCGAGCCTGGTCACAAGGGTGGAAAAGGAGAACACGGAAAAGAAGGGCCAAGAGGAATTCAAGGCTTTAAAGGAGAACCAGGTGCTCCAGGAGCACCAGGACTTCCTGGTGCACCAGGAGAAAATGGAAGACCAGCCGAAAAAGGTGACAAGGGTGATTTTGGACCCGAAGGGAAACCTGGTCCGCCTGGTCCACCGGGACCACCAGGACCCAATAGTCCAGGTGTTATAAACGTTGGAGATACAGGTGAACTTTCCCATATTTGATTCATTAAAATTCATTAAAAAATCCTCTAAACAAATTTTGCCTTGCATTTACCTTATTCCCATAAAAATTTCCCAAAAATAAGCTATTTTCCCGAACATTAGAATAGCGTTACCCTTTCAGATTCAAATGAAATTTTGAATAATTATCAATAAATTTTCAATAGTAAAATTGATTAATTTATATTGATTTTAATGTATGAAAACAAACGGTATAAAATTGCTAGAATATTTAACTGAAATTTAAAAATATTCGCAAACATTGTTTTGCTCTTTGTGATCTATTCTATTTCCAACTCTTGCTACACTATTACTCGTCTATCAACAGCTAGGAAAATAACTTGATATAGTATTCGTTAACTAAATTCACCGAATGCAAATTCTACTAATTGTAAGCGTAAATAGTTCCGTACCACTATTTTACTACCAAATATTTTGAAACTCAACAAACTTCCTACGTTTAAAATATTTTGTTTCTTATAATTAAAATGCAAGTCTTAATTGAAATACTTTCATTCATTCGTTTTATACGATTGTACCGTTTCCAATTTCCCCTACATCTACATCATAATCAAGTATCTGTAACGATTAGAAAACGGATTCGTAACAATTATTTCTTTTTTATTAAAATATCGTTAATTTTCGATGAATGGAATATTTGTTGATAATTAACACGATATAGTTCACAAAATATTGTACTAAAAAAAATCGATCGATAAGTAGAACAATAAATCCAGTAATCATTATTTTTGTATAGTTATAACAATCCTAAACTAACTCTATCCATAAACTGATTTATGAAATTCGTGTAAAGGATTAGAAGAGAAGGGTGAGAAGGGTGAATCTGGGCCACGTGGTTACAAAGGCGATCAAGGAACTAAAGGCGAGAAAGGGGATAAGGGGGAATATGGACCAGCCGGTATACCGGGTGTAAACGGAATTCAAGGACCGCAAGGAGATAAAGGCGAGCCCGGTAAGGACGGAGTTCCCGGAATTTCTGGAATTCCGGGTTTGAAAGGAGAAAGGGGTGAAAGGGGTCCTCCCGGTGTCACCGCTATCGCCAATTCCGGTGACTATATCACCATCAAAGGTGAAAAGGGTGCAGAAGGTAAAAGAGGAAGAAGAGGTCGTCCTGGACCACCAGGTCCTGTCGGACCACCCGGAAAACCAGGAGTAATGGGAGAAATTGGTCTACCAGGATGGATGGTACGAAAAGAATACCTTTTTCTTGCATAATCGTTGCATTTCTACTCAAATACATTTTTTGTCATATCTTAAATTATAATATCCAATAAACGCATGCGTATTTTACTTTTAATGCTGCATGAAGAATACAAAGGTAAGAATAATATAAAAAAGAAAAAAATGAAAAATCAAATATAAATTTAAATTTTATTCTAAGAATAGATATATGATTCGTGTTTATTCGAGTTACGATAATTAAAATTTGTTTTATAAATTTGTATAGGGTCGTCCTGGACCACCAGGAAATCCTGGCTTAATTGGACCGAAAGGAGAGAAAGGAGAACCTGGAACACCAAGTGCTTATGGAATCTCAGTAGGTGTCAGATTCTTAAATTATAATTTTGAAAGATAAAAAAAATAAAATACTCATACATATACGACATTGTTTATTGTAGAGGAAAGGTGAGAAAGGAGATGACGGAATGCCAGGAATTCCAGGACAACACGGAAGAGACGGACAACGAGGTCCTCCGGGACCACCAGGAGCACCTGGCCCAGCTTCTAAAGGAAACTACATTCCTGTACCAGGACCTCCAGGTCCTCCAGGACCTCCAGGATCACCAGGACTCTCTTTAATAGGACAAAAAGGTGAACCAGGAATTGGCAGGAGTCACATTTTCGGAGAGAAAGATTATTATGGAATGAGACAAGGTAAGATACCATGCATAACTAAAAATAACAAAATAGCGTCGACGTATACGAAGCAACGTTTGTAGAAATATGTATTTCCCATGAGAACGTTTTCTAATAATTTAAACATAAATTTGCTTACGTACATATACCGCAAGGACCCAGAAGCAGTCTGGACGAATTAAAGGCACTTCGCGAGTTAAAGCAGCTGAAAGAATTAAAGGAACATTTAGGTATTCCGATAACATTTTTTGTATTAAAAATGTAAAGAGAATTTATAAAATCTTTGTTAGGAGTTTAATTCTAAATTACATAAATAAGATTAATTATTATCAGTAAACTGATATCATTTTATCAAAGGTACTGCTACTGTTGCTACAAGAGGTCCTTTGGAAAGTACAACAAAGATAGTCCCAGGAGCAGTAACGTTTCAAAATACGGAAGCTATGACAAAGGTAATGATACTATTATCCTGTTTATATTAAAGTAATATTTTTCGAAAATTTCTCTCTATATATCAACAGCATTTTATTCAATATTATAGATGTCGAGTGTCAGTCCTGTTGGAACTTTGGCATATATCATAGACGAACAAGCCTTGCTTGTAAGAGTTAACAATGGATGGCAATACATAGCGGTTAGTTAATATAACAATTTCAAACATGTATTCAATACCGTTACCTACTTATCATGTATCCTTTAGCTCGGCTCACTTCTTCCAATAACAACCCCTGCGCCACCAACGACAGCACCACCTCCGGCAAATCCACCTTTCGAAGCTTCAAACCTGATAAATCAGATACCAGTGAAGGCTGACGGTACAGGAGTAAGTTATCCTCATTTCATATCTTTTGTAGCAAAATCTACATAAATTTATTCGATGTTAAAGTCAAAATAACATTTTCTTTTTGTTATCAAGTGGTATCCTAAAATGGTAAGATGAATTATATTATTATTTAAAATATATTATAAATAATTAATATTATAGTGTTTTATATATACGTATATATACATATATATATATAGACTTACACAATATTATATATATTTCATAATTTTTAGTTGAGAATGGCAGCATTAAATGAGCCGTTTACTGGCGACATGCACGGTGTAAGAGGTGCAGATTACGCTTGCTATCGTCAAGCAAAACGAGCAGGCTTGAGAGGTACCTTCCGTGCATTCCTAAGCTCCAGAGTGCAAAACGTCGACAGCATCGTCAGACTTGGAGATCGCGATCTTCCAATCGTTAACATCAAGGTAAATCCAGCAACAAGAAAAAATCTATTGTATTACTATTGTAGAACATTATATAGATAATTAAACGTATATCCAATATATATCCCTATCTTCGCGAATGATAATATTTTTTCTTATTTAGTTGAAATTATCATCGTATAATTGAATAATATTGGCAATATCAGGGAAAAGTAACAGTAAACTCGTTCTTGATCGTCCTTCGTATTCGTTTAATCGTCTATTTGACGCGTTTACTTGCCGTCGTGTCTTTCGTCTATGATTCAGTCGTCTCCTCTTCTTTTTTACACTTCTTTGTTTCTTCTATTTTTCTGTCGTCTATTCCTCTATTCGTTTATACTCTTCTAAATTCATCTATACTCTTCTAAATTCGTCTACTCGTCTATATTCTTCTAAATTCGTCTATTTTCTTCTAAATTCGTCTATTTTCGTTTAACGTCTACTTCTACCGTCTAAATTAGATTCTGATCATCTGATAACTATCTTTGACTGATTATAGCATCCTTTTCCTTTTGTCACCCAGCGTCAAATGTCTTTTGTCGTTTTTCTGATTTGTCGATCGTTTCAGTCTTTAAGTAGCGTGATCTTTAGCGAACAAATCACGCATCAATTAACAAATCAATTGCACGAATATGCATATCAATTCTCTCTCTCACATACATTCATACTCATTCGTCTCGACATTTTCACCCTTCTATAGTATTATTAAAATAATAAATAAAAAAATAATATCAACATTTTTCCAGGGTGACGTTCTTTTCAATTCGTGGAAGGAAATGTTTAATGGTAATGGAGCCTACTTTTCCCAAAACCCTAGAATCTACAGTTTTAATGGAAAAAATATTCTTACTGACTTTGCCTGGTAAGTAATTTTTAAAATAACAGTAATCAATACTATACAAAATTGTCAAACACGAACACAAGCGGTTTGAATAGTTTCATTATTTAAGGTAAAGTAAAAAAATACACAATTAATTATATTTTTTTTTATATATTGTATTAATTAAGATTATTATTAATCAATTGCATTTATTCTAAAAAATTGTTTATTTTATAATTAAGTTTACGCAAATATTAAAGACGGCACTTGCCAAGCTTCGTCGATAATGCTATTTGCAAGCGTCATCTATCAGGGAGAACTATTTTTTAACCCTATTGATAAGTAAGATTTTATTCAAGCAGAATGAGGGTGCAATCCTATGCTGACGCTTGACGCTGATTTTGAGCGTTAAATTAGGGCTCTACCTAACTGAAATAAGTAGTCATGTCCAGCGTCAAAAAAAATGAGCGACAAAAAATTCATTAATATTGAAAGTCAATATCTCGAGATATACTTAAAATAAGTCTCTAACATCATTTTTAATATTATTGTCATAATTATCACCTATTCCATATATAATCAAATACTTACATCCTCAAAGAGTCCCATTGCTTTTGATTGAATTTTTATAGAAATATACTTAAATAAGAATTATTTTTGTATAATGTTTTAAATTAAATTTATTTATTAATAAACAATACAGCTATTTTCAGCTTGCCAAAGTCGATTATTTTAATTATGAATTGACGCTCAAGCCTGAGAATAAAAAGCTAATTTCTGTTTAGCTTTTTATAATTTGACGCTGGACATGACTCTACTTATTTCAGCTAGGTGGAGCCCTAATTTGACGCTCAAAATCAGCGTCTAGCGTCAGCATGGGGTTGCATCCCTGAGGAAGGATTCATTTAATAAGTATAATATCTTCAGATGTCACATCAGGAGTTAACGATACCGACCGATACTCATTATCGACGAAGCACCTAATAAAATATTTCTAGGCGCCATATATAAGTAATTACATAAAATGAATATACATATATGATTAACGATAATCTTTAATCAAACAAAAAATATTTAATTTTTATCATCAAAATCTTATAAGATTAAACTCTATTTTATTTTCTTAATTAAATAAAAATTGTATTATAAATTATATATTATTTTAGGCCGGAAAAAGTAGCATGGCATGGTTCGCACAAACTGGGAGACCGAGCGATGGACACTTATTGCGATGCCTGGCATTCTAGCAGCTCTGATCGTTACGGATTAGGATCACCTCTTACAGGAGGTCGACTTTTGGAGCAAATTCGTTATTCCTGCGATAACAAGTTTGCCTTACTTTGCATAGAAGTAACCAGCGAAGCTACAAGGAGACGAAGAAGCAGTCCTTCTGCAGAAGATGAAGTAGAAATGACAGAGAGCGAGTATAAGAAACATTTGGAAGCATTAATGAAAAATTGAAGGCTCTTGTTAAATATAAATATTTGCAAACCGTTATGTAAATAGAAATCGAGATGTACTGACCGTAAAGATTACTGAATCGAATAAGCGAAAAATATAGCTTTATTCGTGTTAAAACAAAAAAAACACAAGTGACAAAAACGTTACATTTAACATAAACAAATTGTGAAAAGAATTGAAACGGTCGTTTCATCTCGTTTCTCATATCCTGGAATGCTACTATCCTCTATTTCCAAAGTTATAACTCGTAAGCAAAGCCCTTATTATCGCTTCAAAGAAGTTTCCGTTTATCTCTTAAAAAGAAGACTGATCGTCTAGACATACTACGTTCGTCAACGTTTCATATCGATCATCATACCGTAATATTAATGAAAACGTCGAATTGAGAGGATAAGTTTTGAAAAAAAAATATAAAAAAAAAGAATCTCATGGCTTTCAGTATCTCAAAGCGTCTTATATCTCGTGCGAATAATTTAAGCGTTCCCTTGAAAATTTATCTACATCCAGCGCTAAACTTCCTCCTCTTTGCTTAACGTCCTAATAAGAGAGGAAGACTCCAAATAGGAGAATTTCTAAGGCACGCACGAATAACGATTTGATGTTTAGATTGTAAACTACTGCTCTTTAAAAACCTAAATAAATCTAAACGGAGATCATATCCGCGCATCGAGACGCGTTTACATTTTAGCTGATACATATGAGTGTGTATGTTAGATGTAAGAAACATCGATTAAGAATTCTATATGACGAGTCGCTGTTCGTTTCAAATGAAGACAAGATTTGTGCTCTACGCGATATGTAAGTTACATTAGTTGTCTCATGATCGTATAGTGTTGTTTTCTGATCGAGAACTATTCGAGTTAATGGTTTCATGAGAATCGCCAAAACTTCGTAAACTACCGTAATAACGAACAACAATATCTTCATAAATTTATTTAAGATCACTCGCCCACTTTGTACTCTCTTCTCTTTCAGGAAACGAACATTTTTTCCATCTTGTCATTACTGCTTTACATCACGAGCATGAATCGAATCAATGTTGTCTGTAACTTGAGAATATATTACGATTAACATTAACCTAATTTATTAAAGTTACATATGTAGAGAAAAAGAAAGAAACCGTTATAAGTCTATATACTTAGGTTGTCAACATGCTTGTCGGCGAATACAACGTAAATAAATGGAACTTTCTAATGTAATTTAGATCGCGCCGCCCAGAAAAAACAATATGTACAACTAATTATCTTTCAATATAGTTTGCACTGACATTTTATTTCCAAATTTTATATTATTTGTACATTTTATTATATCATCTTTCTAAATAAAAGCGGAAAGTGCATTTTCTACACCTCCAATCATTCACCCTTATATATACATAGTAACTCATTGACGTGACTCCACGATAAAAATTATTTATTTATTTATCAGTCATCATATAATTGTATTTTATTATATTGTATATTACAATATTAGACTTAACTAAAGATTTATTCGATTTATACAAAATTGAAAAGTTATCTTTTAAGTTTTTAAAATGCTCGCTGCTTCTGTATACTTTAGTCCTTCGAGAAGATAAATTAAATTTTCAACAGAAGCATCTTCATCCTCTTCTGCCCAAATTTCTAACATATTTTTACATTGTTCGTATGGAGTTGGTTTGCTTTGGAAAAATGCAATCTGCAGAAATTATAAATTGTATAAAACACAAAATTCTAAATTTATTTTACTATGAACTAAATAAGAAAATACAAAATTACCTCGTCATTAGTATAGCCTAATTTAATTGCTAATTTCTTCCAATCTCCTTTAAGCAATTCTGATAATTTTGCTACCATTTCGGGTATAACTTTGTTTAGTTTATTTTCTATTCCTTTCGCATCAACATTTTCATTATCAGTTTGTTCACTTTCTTGCTTTAATACCTCTGTATATTCTTGATCATTAGAATCAGGTGGTGGAGTATCTTCTGTTTCCACCTTCACATCAGATTGAGCTTGCTGTAATTGTAATTATATACTTTTTTCATAATTGTGTTTTTAAAGAATATATCGTTGTAATATCACAGGTACAAGATATTGATAATAATATGAAAATACTATATTTCGAAAAAAACATTGAAATTGATATAAACATTCACCGGTCGATCTTTAGCGATCTTTTTTATCATAGTTTCCAGATATTCTGGAAGTCTATTTATTGGATAATTCCCATGGACGAAGAAGTGTGGACTTCTTCTAGCCAATAACCTCAATGCTCTCCATCCAAAATTACCATCATTTACTTTCCTATAAAAATATGACATTATAGTTAAATATTAAATATTCGATATTGCTATGTTTTACAAAGAAAGCGTATCTTACTTATATTCTTCTTCCACCATGGCACTTGGATCTAATTGCATAATAGCCTCTTCGAAATATGTCTCTAATGACGGAAGAAAATCTCTATCTTTTGATTTGCATGCCTCTAAATTATTTGGACAAAGATTCCATAGTTTAGTAAGCTCTGGACTATAAAAGATAAATTAATGTTATATATTTCTTGCTAACATAATTTTTAATAATATATTTTACATGATAGCGAACAATGAAATGACTTACTTTCCCATATGATATTTGCCAACAGTCTGAGCATCTCTAATAATTTCACCAATTCTTCTTTTCAATCTTTTAATTTTTTTTACATCGTCATCAGTTTCTGTAGTGATTTCAGACGCAGGCCTTTTAAAAGGTGGACAACCCTCATTTTTCCACGAATTCCAGTGCTCTTCTCTTTTAAGAATATTTTTTACAGTTTCTGTAAAATATGGACCATCAGGTGGTGTCTCTGTTAACAAGGTATAAACTTGTTCCGTTGTTGCTTTAACCCATTCCACTTGATCTGGCTTCAATTCATGCGTCTCGCTTAAATATGAAACATATCATTGAGATACGGTAAAGTAAAAATCATAATGTTGAATTTAATAAAAGCAGACCTTCTCTCATAGCCACTGGCAAGGAAGCTTTGGAAAACAAAGATCGTTTTATGACTTTCTAAAGCTTTTACTAAATGCTTAAGAGAACTTTACTACGTTATTATGACTTTAGATATTTCCAAATCAAATACTAAGGAATTATCTTATACAAATTTCTACTTACGCTTTAAATTTAACAGTGCTATTTAGATACTGGAAAAGTATCAAAAATTGCAACAATAAGAATCTTCTAAAATTAGAATCAGAAAGTTGTAATTCCAACAATTTCTGATTAGTAAGATATTTTGCGAAGTAATGAGTTTCTTTATGGGAATCTTCCATAGCAGAATCTAATTTCACACAAATAGTTGGATAACTACGCTGCTCTTCTAATTTGAACGAAGAGAATGCTGATAAGACATTAGATGCATGCTATAAAAAATAAGATAATAATAAATTGTTATTACAAAAACTGAATTTTATATAAATTCAATTAATAATATTGTAATTGATCTATTTACCGCTGAGAAGACTTTCCAATGCATTTTATTATAGCATTGATTAGGATTTCTAAAAAAATCTTGCAAAGCCCAAAACTTTCTGTACAAACTATAATCTATGGGTATTTTATTTTCAGTCTTATCTTCATCTTTTATTATTGGTTCCAGAACATCTTCTGCTTTCTCAGTGCCGAATTCTGTTAGATTTTCTAAGTTAAATTCGCTAACAATGTTAAGTCCAGATCTCTCAGAGAATGGAAAGAACTTTGCAAGAAATAATAGAATTCTACCACAAAATACAGTTTGCTGAGAACGAGACAAGCGTCTAAGCAAATCATTACACATTCTTAATAAATTATTTTTACAAAGACTGAAAAAGAGATCTTCTTTCCAAACTACCACATTATTTTCAACGTATGTGAAGAGCTCTTCACATTTATCCAATGTCATTGAATCAAATATGTCTCCAAGTAACATGACTGGCATACTACCAGTCGCTAGATCTTTTCTACATAATTCAATGCAAAATGTGATATAAGATTCAAGAGGTCTAACGCTTTCAGATGTTTTATGTATCAATATATGAAGTAATGTATCTCTGAGAGCTTGATCTACAGCAAATTTTCGTTCAGTATCATTGGCACACTGTTCAATACATTTTCTTTGAAATGTAGTCACATCATTTATTTTGTAACATTGTTGTAAATAATCCTACAAATAAACAACACTTTTTATTCTACGAACATGTATTGCACTCGTAAAATCATTTAAAACGATACTTACGCTGTAGTCTTTTCTCAATATTTCGAACATAGCCATGATGCCAAATTTTTTTAGTTATATTCCACATAAAACCTTATCCTCTTGTTTATTTTTTATGTCAAAAAAACACTTAATGTTATCATAGAGAAACTATACGTTTATAAAAATATATATAAAAATATCATTTATGCTATACAGAAACAGCGACCAATTTCATTCCAACGGTAATATATGAAAACGCTACCTCGTGTCAATCGTAGAAAACTTCATCGGCCAGGGCCGTATCGACACCACCTCAGGTGAGAGTAACGAGGTGCGTAAGTTACAAGGCGTGAAGTGACTTTAGCGAGAAGTATGGATAAAGAATGAACTACAAGCACAACACAGAAATAGTAATCTGTACAAAATAATGGTGTCAAAAATCTACACCATAGATCAATCGAATAGACATATAAGCATACAGAATAAGAAGCATAAGAATACAGAAGTACATAGAAGCTTACGAGTCCAGTTTTTTCATAACCAATTTCATCTTAGTTACTACCGGAACCGCCAGAGAACAGATAGTATGTACTAAACGCGATGACGGTACAATACTATCAAAGAATACAATATTCTTTGATAGTATATATAGTATAGTTATATAGTATAGTTATATAGTATAGTTATATAGAATAATTATATTGTAAGAAAATTTAAAATAATTATATTTAATTTTTAGTGTCTAAATACGTGTGTGCTTTCAGAAATGCGTTTTTTATACATATATATTTTAAAAAGTAGAAGAAAATCAAAACGAGTAGATGATAAAACCATTGATGATCACCTGTAACAAAAAGAAAACTATATTAATCATACAATCAAGTGATACAATAGCCTGACATATAAATCGTCCCATTTGCAGATGCACTTTTCAATTGAATTCTCTATTTATTTTTATCAAATTTCTATATCAATCGTTGCAATGAAATTAAATTTAATTTGATTTTACATTTACATAAAATATATAAAAATAAAGAAATATATATAGTTACTACAAAAAATAATATCTATTAATTATTATGAAATACATTTAAACTGCATTATATAGAAAAGAAAAATTGCAGATTTAATAAAATACGATCGAAATGAAAAATTTTAAAGACAAAACAAGAAAAAAGAAATTACTGTAATTTTTACCGAATGTTATTTAAGCTTCAAAATTTAATATTACGAAAATTTTAATATTTTTTACTCTAACTAACACATATGCATCTTTTGGACGATATAGACACGAATTTGGTGTCCCAAGGAGATGGAATGGTCCATCATCTTCAATTACAACTACAAATTAATGACGAGCAAAAAAGTAATATAATAAAATATGATTAGAGAGCTATTCTCGAAACGTTCTAACTTGTTGTTGAACCTTTGAAAATAACTCAATAGTCTATGTAGTTGCCCACTTGATACCACAAATTTGTGGGGGCCTCTTCGGCATTAGCTTCTTCGGCATTAGCCTCTTCGGCATTAGCCTCTTCGGCATTTAGCCTCTTCTTTCTTCCTGCCCTAAACGCTGCTGTGAGGCTTTTTTTAATTAATAATAATAAGAATATTGTATTCTTTGATAGTATTGTACCGTCATCGCGTTTAGTACATACTATCTGTTCTCTGGCGGTTCCGGTAGTAACTAAAATGAAATTGGTTATGAAAAAACTGGACTCGTAAGCTTCTATGTACTTCTGTATTCTTATGCTTCTTATTCTGTATGCTTATATGTCTATTCGATTGATCTATGGTGTAGATCTTTGTATAATTGGTATAATTCTTTTAAATCTGTTTTATCGATTTAATTCTTTTCGGAATGAGATATAAACATTTCGCTATTTGTACGCTAGATGGCACTCACTAGCTGAATTATTTTGAAATTTTATTTTAATGAAAGTTGAGTGAAAACCGTTATAGTGTGATATTGTATTTATGCGATAAAAAATAATTAATATTGAGTCGGCATAATTAATTGAAAGTTTAGTGTTTGTCCGTCAATGGTTGGTAACATTGTTTGTTTACACGATGGCGTCCGGTGGTGGTGAGTACACCTGGAATTTCTATTCGTTCTCTCGTGAAATGAATTTACGCAATATAATTCGTATTATAAACATAAGGATATTATTAACACGATTATTATATTTAAAATGATAGAAAATACAAATGAAGAAAGAACTGAAGCGTCTACACCAGCTCAACCCATCTCTAATGTCGTGTCGGAAGCAGCGCACGTAAGAAAGATAACCTAGAAGAACACGAGTTTTGCTTTAAAACGGTGATATTTTCAATCCATTCTCGTATTCGTATGCATTGTAAGGAGGTATAATTAATGTTTCAACGGCATGTCAATGTTGCATAATCGATAAATTTGTAAAAATTATTTGAACCTCGGTATCAATACTTTTAGATTATTTCAATTAAGTTACAGCTATTCGATTACATTATCGAATAATTTATTATTTTCTTACTCGGTCATATGTAGTAGATTGAGAATTATTTTATTTTAATTTACGTAGAAAAAGCAAAACTAGTAATCTTCTATCTACAAAGTTTTGTTTTGTCAAGATCTTGAGTATAATAAAGATCGTTTAGTTATTTTATAAATTTTAATATCAGTAGTGCTTCAGTTTTCTTTTCCTTTTTTATTGCTATTAATAGCTTTTATATTTTTGATATGAGCTTAGTTTCCAAGATTGATTGTTAGATGACAATGTATATGATAGAAATATAAGTAGTTTTTGTTGTACACTTTTAGTAAGCCATTGTATTTGCGTTACCTTGTATTGATCTAATATTTGATTAACTTTTTACAGAAAGTGATAGCGATGGACAAAGATCCTGACCTGTCAAGTGTACCTCCAAAGAAAACTCGTGTTGAGGTGCAATCGCTACCAACTAGACAGTATCTGGATCAAACGGTGGTTCCAATTTTGCTGCAGGCTCTATCTACATTAGCCAAAGAAAGACCTACTGATCCTATTAGCTTTCTAGCAGGTTATTTATTAAAGCACAAAAGCCAATACGATAACGGTGGATCACCACCAACTAGTCAGTAATTTAATTTTATATTAAACACGGTGACTTTGGAAAAAACTTATTTGTGACAGAAAATTTTTCAACGATTAGTTTTGTGAAGACTTCCATCAAAGTATATCTCTGTAATTTCAAATTAAATAAAAATGAAATAGCTTTTTATCTTTTAACGAATTGTGTATATCTGTAAGTTAAAAGTCTTTTTGCTAGGTTGAAATAAATAGCATGAACATATTGATTCAAGTAGCGTGATATTTTGAATTTATTTATTTGTTATCAATTTCTTTATAATTAGATTTCAAAGGTGGAAAGATGTAGCCTGAATCCTTTATTAGGGTGGTATATAGGAGGAAAGTTGATAGAAGGTGGCAAAGAGGCAAAAGAGGGGTTAGAACTTTCCAGAGAATGTGTTTGTACACTGGAGTTTCTCAAAAGTACTCGGTATACCGTCGAAACTCAAAGTACAACGTAATATAAACACTGTACAAGACGCAAAGAGAGTATAAGTTTAAGTCGGAAGTTCAACATAGTACCATCTACGAGAGTTGAATCTATAAGAACGCTCGAGCTTCCGACGATAGAAGCAAAAATACGATTTTATTCCGAAGGCCATCCCTTAGCTACGATGAAAGAAGCGATCATCGAAATAATCGGTTGGGCAAATGGGAATGACTTCTTTCGCGTCAATTTTAATTGGGGCAACTATTTAATTGGAAGCAATTAAACGTAATTGTGCAATGAATCGTCGTTTAAATGCGCTTCACAGCTCAATGGACTCAATATACCTTCCTTCCTCTCTCCTGTTCTGTTCCCCTTCCTCCCTCTCTTTCTCAACATATATGCAACGCTTCGACATCTTTTCTTTTAAAACTCTTTCTATTCAGTATTTTATCGTCAATGTTCGATCAATCGTCGAGTTTATTTGCAACGAATATGAAGTATCTACGCATGGCATGTGCGCAGCGCATATTTTTTTGTTTGAATACAATATTTCGTTTATCGATCGTATATAAGTGAAACAAAATTTTATATTATCAATACTGTTATATTATTATTTTTATATTAACAAGTCAAATACGTTCAACCAATATAAAAAAAAATTACGGAGAAAAAGTTATTCCTTAAAGTTGGCCTCGTTGAAAGAAATAGAATTTTGTTCAATATCAAATATTTTAGAGTCAAAAACGTATTACATATTTCTTCTTTAATTACTTCTTTAATTACTCTCTTAAGTTTGGAGAATCAAGCCCACTAGAAGGAAGTCAATTAGTTCCGGAAAAACAGTGAATGGTAAATATATCAAAATAATTATACGATGAAAATATAATATTCGCATTGATTTGCTTGAATAAATCGAATTAACGAAAAAAGAATATTATTGATTTTTTTCTATATATATTTTTGTTCTCATATCATTGTTTCATGTTTTTTTTTTTTTATTTCAGAATCAAACTTCCCTTAATTATATTCGATTCGTTATTGATAGAAGAATACCAATCAAACGAGTCATCGACGGGAAATTTTTTCGCACAAAATAAAACTGTTTTAAACTAACAGAAATTTAACAGCGAGACGAGATAGTAACGATCGTAAAAGGATTGTCGTTAAGTTAGAAACTTGTAATAGTAAAGGAGAGAAACTTCATGTTGACGAAGTTACAGAATCACTTGTGAACATACGTATATATACCGTGGTAGTAAAGAGTTGCAACGTATTTTCTTACTTCTCTTCTTGTTTCTCTCCTAGATCTTGGGTAGTGTCTCTTCTGAGATAGTGAATAGAGTCGAGTGAATGTATGCGTGCATGAACCACAATGAAACATAGAAACTCGTATACACATAGACAGGTACAGTTTGTCCATGCAGGCAGCTACGTGCCATGGGCACGGTCCACGATCCACGATCCACGATCTACGGTCCACGGGTAACCAGTCTCGTGGCTAATGGCTGAACCGTGTCACGGCTTTCGCCGTTCGCGCACGACCTGCAGATTCACGCCTGCACGCCCGCACGGAGACTCGGTCCAATTGGCACGCATATTGGAATTCTATTACCGAGATTACGACCAGTAATTGCTCGGTTTAGCGCAATATCGTACATTCGACCCTCTCTCTCTCTCTCTCTCTCTCTCTCTCTATCTATCTATCTATCTATCTATCTATTTCTCTCTTTCTCCCCCTTTCTCTCTCTCTCTCTCTCTTTCTCCCCCTTTCTCTCTCTCTCTCTCTTTCTCTCTCTCTCTCTCTCTCTCTCTCGCTTTCTCGCTCTCGTTGACGCTCTAAGCTGACCGGCAGTAGCCTTACGACCGTCAAACGTGGATTAGACGTACGTCTCACTTTGCTATGTTAGCTAGACATTAGGTTTCAGGTAATTTCTCGATCTAATGTAAGACCCTTTCTCGTCGTAGTAGTCCTTTCAAAATATGATTGGCAGCTGGAATTTATTATCGTAAGATTGAAACGATGGTATAGTATGGATTTTAAGGAGAGAAGTTAAGGGATTTTAAAGCGTAACCGAGGATAAAATGTTAAATTAGTTTCATTTTTATTGGGACATTTTCTCCTTTAAGAAGCTTCCTTGATCTATCTTATCTTTTTATTCTCTTTTTATGTTTCAAATAATTAACGTCTAAAGACTAATCTTTGCAGTACAGATCTGCGTTTCAGTACGCGGACGCGTTATTAATTTAAAGTTTATTTTATAAATGAGCTCTTTCAGTGTGCTATGACGGATGTTTTAACTGATCGGTTAAATTTTTGCTGGGAAGAGAGTTATCTTTTAAAATGCATAATAGAGGTTGAAGAAAAGAGATGATTTCTCTTTTCATTTCTGTTTCTCTCTCTCTCTCTCTTTCTTTTGTCCTTTCTTTCCGCCAAGGGTAGTTTAATTTCATATTATATTGCTTTCTAGCTCGCAGTAAGAAATTTAATTATGCTCAAGTGATAAAAGGCACAAATCGATATAATTAGAGTTAATTATTTTAGATAGATTTCGTAGTTTTGATTATTTGTTAAATGTTTTCGACACGTGTTAGCGAATTCATGAACGAACAGGTTCTATATCCTCGACGATAAGCTTGGAAAAGAGTTAATTGTAGTGGAAACGGGGAAGGTAAGAATTCAGGCGGACGTAACAGGCTGTTGCTGCTGCTGCTACTGCTACTACTTGTGGTGTTTTCTACTGCGAATTATTCTGTGGTTACTCACTCTCTTTCTTTCTTTTTCTCTCTTTCTCCTTTTTTTTTTTTCCTTTTTGTGGACCTTCTCCACAGATTTTCATTTCAGATCTGGCTCCGGCAGTACCGAGCGAAGGAGAAAATATAAGTCGCTTCGTTGATTTCAATCTGTTTGACGGCAAGTTCTCTCTCTTTCTCGTTTTCTCAAGGGATGGGCGAAGACAATGAGACAAGAGCCGTGGCCGGAGACATCCGTTATCGTGGCACGGCATCGCCAGAGAGTACTCGCTCATCCCATTTCTTCTCCCCCTTTTCTCGTTTGAGGTCAGACTCGAAATTCATTCGCCTTGGTAAGCCATTCCGAAGGTCGCCTAGTAGTAATTGCGAGTATCATTCAGCTGTACCTTGTTAAGGCTCTTTTTCTTTTCTCTTTTTATCTTTTTTTCGTCTGGAAATTTGTGATAATTTATGTAATCAAAAAAAAAAAAGAGAGTATGGAAACGAGATAGACTAAAGAGATTCAGTTATTACAGGTTCTAACGAGTCAAGTTTCGAGGTTCTTTGTGCTAATAATATTAAAGAACAGGAGTTCTTCTAAATTTTTTTCTCATATTTACAACAAGTACTAATAAGAGATTTTAAATGCATATCGCGGTCATCCAAATTTTATCTCGTTACTTATTTTCTTATTTTTTAAAATAGACAATAGCTAATGTTTCAATTAATTTATATAATTAATAGTTTTACTAGGTGAGTTTTTCATCGGTTTTTATATAAAAATTAGATTTGTTATTGTAAAAAACATTTGATATAGGCTTATATTACAATTTTACGATAAAAAATAATCTTCACCGAATATGAAATATAAATATAAAATATCTTGAGCGCAGTACAATTTCAGTAACACTCTCTCTTCTATTTACTGTAATCAAATTTATTTACTTTTATCAGAATTAATTATTAGACTTAATTGATGTTAAAAAGTTACGAAATAGATTGATATTGTTTCGATGAGAAGATATTTTTACAAAAGATTTCCTTTACTTCGAAGGTAACTTAACGTATTAGATCCACCTCCGATGAATACGGTTTCTCGATCGCGCAGCTGGGATACTACCCCGACAAGCTCTTCCATCTCTTTTCATCCTTTCAACTCCTCTGCCCAATAGGGTAGGCGTCTCTCGAAAAGCGCTTAATCCCCTATCGAGCGAAGGCCCAAGATCCCGGTATTACTTCGAACGTTGATTTGTGGTCGTTCCAGTAACATTATTTATAATTTACTGGGCATTAATAGCCGGGACGAGCGTGTATATGGCCCTATGTCGGATGACAGTCTCTCCTTCTCTCTTTCTCTCTTCGTCTTTGTATCTTCCTTCTCCGACGTAATTCCGTTTATTTTCTGTCCTTTCAGGAAAATTGATGAAGGGGTCACCAAATTATATAGAAGACCACCATTCCCTTTTGCGAATCTCAAATATATGTTAGGATATGTGTATATATATATAAACATACATTATACATATATGTACTAATTGTTAGTTTTAAAAATAAGCAACAAATTTTAATCGGTGAGAATAAAGGGTTATCAATGTACAATAGGCCAAAAGAGTGTGTAGGGAGATGAAGACAAATGATGTCTCTCTTAATCCAATATCCTTCATTCGACTTGTATGTATGCACGCACACACACACACACACATATCGTTTACATAATCGTCGGAGATGGAAATGTTGGAGGATGCACTTTGCGGTTCAGTTTATGTTAGTTGAGGAAACCCGCTTTCGGTCTTGCGAATTTTTCAAGATATACCTAGAAGATACTACCGTTGGAGTAGAAGAAAAAGGGAAGGGAGAATAAAACAAGGCGAACGGGAAGATCGAAGAGGAAGAAAGAAATGGGGGAGAAAGAGAGAAAAAGAAAGAGAGAGAGAAAGAAAGAAAGAAAGAAAGTAAGAAAGAAAGAACAGAGGATTGGGGATGCACGTAGAGCCGGTTAGACGTCGAAAATGTAGGTGGCAGGACGTACGAATACGTTATTTCTTCGGCACTGTTATTTCGCGTGGTAGTCC